CCCCAAAACCCCAAAACCCCAAAACCCCATTATTCAATATTTTATATTAATATTGGTTCTTAAATAAAATTCATTATAATCTAACACAGTGTTTCTAAATTTAGAATTCATAGCTCCTCCACTGATATTTTTCCGTATTAAATTAGATTTTGCTTTGACTATCTGCTTCGTTAACTCTATTGCATTCTTGAGTTATCATCTTCCTTAAGTTCTAATTTCCTACTATTTACTCTTGATAGAAGAGGGCTATTAAGAATTCTTTCACCAAGTTCATAAATAGCGTCCTTAATCTCTTCAAAATTCCTTATCTCCTTCATCAATTCTTAACGTTTCTTCTGACCTCCATTCTTAATCTCAGTTATATTTACAGCTCTGTCATGAGAACATCGAATTAATTCTTCTATATCTTGAGCAGTAATCATTTGATACGCTTATTTAAAAAAGAATGGGCTTTTTTCCATTGTAAGGAAAATGCAATATAAGGAGTAAGGTCTTTCTGTAAGGAGTTCAGTTATAAATTACAAGCTTTAATTCTGCTCAATTTCTTTTTTGTTTTTGTCAAAACCATTAATGGCATTTGCTTGCTCACTAAAAAAGTATTTTTCTTTACCCAAGAACTAATAGGCAATATATTGTATTTCTTTAAGATAAATCAGTCTTTTTTCAAATGGCATATTTTTTATAATGTATACTGATGTAGGTATGAATAAAATTTTAGTCAAAAGCTCATCTCTTTAAAGTTTAAAAAGATATTCAATCATGATTTTCAAATCTAAATCATTAAATAGATATCCATGATAATCCCAAAAGTATAACAAAATATCCTCTGCGCCTACTTTAATTTTCTTTAAATTGTATCTAAGACACTCCAATACAAATAAGAGTAGACAGTCTATACCATTATTGATCGATATTTAATCCTTTGAATTGCTTTAATAATTGCTAGACATATTTTTCCTCTTTCTGTATCCTGGCATTTTCAGTGATGCTTGGACATTGATCTTCAAATTGTCACAAAAGTATTTTACTAATTTTAACTAATTATAGAATATAGCTACGTGAAGTGGATTCCATTCTTTTAGCACCTCTTCATCGACATTAATGACTGCATTGTCATCAAATAATCCATAATTATTACCGCAAGTATTTATCATTTCTTCCCTTTCTTCAAAAGCGTCAAATACTATTCCTTCCTTATCTCTTATTTATGCTATTTCTTATATTTTACCATGCTCGATCAATTTTACAATCTTTTGGATATTCCCTGATTGGCTGAGTCTTAGGATTTCTTCATTTACGAATTTTAGTTCTATAACCTATTTATTCCCTTCAATTATTTTCTCTATAAATAACTATGTTATTCTTAAATCTTATTTCACATCCGGATCCATATTTTCAAATATCCATTGAAACATATCATAATTTTGATAGATCATATAATGATTAGAATTTCTTAAGCAAACATCTATCAAATCTTTAAGCATATGTTCCCTTTTCAAATTAAGATATAAATACTATGTGCCAAAGTTTTTATTACTTGCTAAGGCATCATCTATAAACGTGCAGATTGAATCTTAAGTATCCTGATCAAACTTATCAAATAAGATTTTCTCAATATAAAATACTTGTTCATCAAAGGACAGCGAAAGAATAATATTTACAAAGGTTTTACCTCTTAGAATGACTGATAATGCGTCTAGGAACTCATAATTATATAAAGTATCCATCAATTGATCTAAGTCCGTGATATCCCACAAGAAGTAATGATCGTTCCATAAATATTCGAGCATTTCTATATCACAATTTTTAATCGCTAAACTTAAAGCTAAAGTAGACTTCCAAAATTTAGCAGTGCTTTTTTCTCCCGATTCTAAAATTCCATCAAGTTCAGAATCATAAATTGGCTCTTTCAAACTTAATCCTGTATGGACACCAATAACTTCAATCATGTACTTAACAAGCTCAAGCAATTTATTAGGGTTAGCTATTGCATACATTACAGGATTCCACATTGCGGTATTGATTAGTTCTCCATCGATCTCTACTTTATAGTTTGATGTCTTCGCTCTAATTGATTCAAAGATAATTGGTGAGATCTTTTGCTTTTCCTCCAGATACTAAATGACTTACTTAGATGTCTTTGCTTTGATAATAGTCTCAATAAGCTCATAACCCAGTATTACATTATCCCAATTTTCTTTTCTTACTTTATCATATTTTAACTCTCCAAAATTCATATCTAATTGTGAGAATGGATTCTTTGATATAATGGAACCCTATCTCTAATTAGTGTCACAGCAAGCTCCCATTAAAAATCAGTTTAAAGATTAGTAGTTAAATCAAAACAATTATTAAATTAAATACCATTATTAGACTTTTACATTATAACTGCAGGATGGGGTTTTGGGGTTTTGGGG